AACGTTTAAAGGTTATAATTCACGTAAGATATTTGACTTTTCACTCAGTCCATAGGCGTCCACGAAAAATTTTCTGGGGGCAAGCAACCCGAAAAGCGCCGTCCTTAACGTGTTAAGTAAAATTATGCATTATTATACTTGATTTTTTACTTTAGCTCTGTGCTTTGTACTTTGACTTAGTTCAGATAACTATTTGTTACTATAACTTCTACTTATACTTGGAAAAACATCCCATAAATCTAAATTTTACCTATATTATTAAAACTAGTATAGTACTAAGTGTACTTTACAAACTTTTGATACTTACCTAATCATAGTCAATTACTAGTGTCATAGTGAAATAATTAAATGTGAATTGCAGGTAGGCAGCTCGCCAATTGCAACCATATGTTCTATCTCAAAAGTTATTGCATCATTCTTTACTATTAGGTGACTTATGCTTGTTACTATATATTGTTAAAATTATATTAGTGGTCCAATCCTGGCTCCTATGCTAATTTGGCAACTCCTGTAATATCTTTGCTTATACTTTCTATAGAAAAATATTCATGATAAATCAGTCAAATATAATTGTAAAAATCAAAATTAAATACACAATTTCGTATCGCCCCCGGATTCCGCTTTTCTCCTTCGCTTAAAAAAGCTTAAATTGATTTATGTGTTCCCTTTAAATAGAGGGGTGCGACGGAATTGGAAGGTTTTGGTTTCCGCTTCCTCCTGCATTCGCTTTTTTTTTATTCATTCGCCTTTGTGTGCATTTATTTGTGTTTATTTCGTGCGTCTTCCCTCGTTCACTCTCACCCTTAATGGGATATAAACGTGCGCATCATTTATTTGACCAATTCCTCCCCCTCTTCCCGCAAAGCGAGGAGAAAGCATTTCCGTTTCCGTGGCTCGAATAATTGTGAAGAGATTAGAGCGAACTCCTTTCTTCTGTTCAAACTTTTTTCCTTCCTACGCTTCTTTATCATTTATTCCTTTCATTATTTTTTCAAGAATGGTTTCAATTTATAATTTTACTCACCCAGCAGTCAAGCTGTTCGGCCACATCTAACGCACCGCTCCTTCCTAAAACACAATAAGGAAAATTATTTATTTATATTGGCATCAGACTTTGGTTGTAATTAAAAATGGATAAATTCGGTTTGTTTGCAGACCGCTCACTAGGAGCTCGTTTGAACGTAAAATTGAAAGACGTGTTTGGTTTTCGGGGGTGGATATTAAAAACCAAACCTACGTTTCTCTCCTTTTTTCTTGTATATTTCGAGAGGCAACCGTACACACGAGTGTGTGTTTATTAACATCCAAAATGAACATGCGTGAGGCTTTCGAGGACCCTTCAAAATTGTTGAAGAGACGAGAACAGCAGCAGCAGAAGAGGAGGAAAAGAGAGAAAAAGAGGGTGGAGTGAGTATTGTGTGCAAAACCACTACTGCTGCTGCAAGGATTAAATCCAAAACCGTGCAATTGGCCCATATGTAATTTCGGATTACAAATAGGAATACTTTCATATGGATTTTCGTAATGATAATAATCAGAAAATGATTAAATAATATCAATCGGTTTTCAACACTTACGGAAACCCATCGCTTCGGAATCGCGTATGATAAACTTTGTTATTTCAGTTTCACTTTTCCCCTTTATTTTAGACTTTTTGGATGTTTAACGTTGTTGAGTGTACGAGTCTCGACGTCCTACTGGCTCGGAATCCGAGCGCAGCCCGAAACGGCACAAGTAAATCCAATATAATCATAATATAATGATAATACTCTTTACCGGATCCGTGGATTTAGTAGCTAGCTAATCGTCTTATATACACACAGAAATTTCGCCTTCTTTTTCTAATCCGGATCACAGCGAGAATTGCTTGCAAAATTCACGACTTTTCCAGCCACCAACAACAACAAACAATCAATATAAACATAACGATTGAACTTTGAACACATGTACTGTTTATTATACTTTTTTCTATTATACATTATTTTTAAATAAGCATATCAAATTTTATAGTTAACAAAAGCAAAGTATGATAAAGAAAATATTTGGATGGGTAATGGGTAATCTCGTGTGTCCCGAGACGGGACCCAAGAAAAAAGGTTCATTTTTTATACATGAAACACATTTAAATTATAATTCATCTATTCGTCCCATCGTGATCTTAACAGTTGACTCACGGCAAATTTACTACAGCCATGGGTATGCTAAGTATTACATGGAAAATTCAGTCCCAGGTTCAATATCAATATAATCAGAATACATGTTAATCAATAGTAGTTGGAACGACTGGTATACATTTATATATCATAATAATTCATAATGTGAATACTCCTATTACTAATGATAAATTTGCATATTGTTAAACGCATTTCACATTATGTTTAATAAATGTTGATTTTTATTTATATACAATTTTAAAAAATGTAGAAAATTACCATTTTGAATATGGTTTTATTCAGGTATATAAAATTGATATATGAAACAAAACGTCAAAATGTTTTAAAATATTTATTTTTAACTTTGTAATCGTAGTATTCAATAAACCGTCATTACACTTTGATTTAAACATTCAATGAGTTAGTGATTAATGGAATTTATTACTATCAAATATGTATTTTACATCAAAATTATCCATTTGAAAAATGGAACATATTCCAATTTTATTAAGGAAGCAGTGTTTGTGAATATTGAAACATCTAAAAGTTGTGAAAATAAGCATTGTTCGTAAAATTCTTATTATTTTGTATATATCAAATGATTGTTTTTTCTTCTATACTGTCAAATATCTTTAAAGTCCGATTTCAAATAGGATATTGGGGAACCTTATTGCCCACACTGTGTGAGGTGTTGCTATACTATTGTATAAATTTAATGATAGTTGACAGAACATGTTAAACAATCAATGTTAGCATGTTTTAAATAATGATACAGTTACTTAACCCTTTCAAGACTACTGGTACATATATGTACCATTCAGTTTCATTTCAGGGCTAAGGATATTTTCTATTTTTTCATATTATATTTGGTACACAATCATTTACTTTTCTATTGCGTTTATGGTACTTATATGTGCCACTACGCCCTCGACGCACCCTTAATGTTTCATCCGCCATTTTCTAATATAAATAAATCATAAAAAAAATAAAAATGTGTTTCCACTGATTTACATTCATAATTGACTATGTATATAGAAAGAAGCTAAAAGTAAATTATAAAATATGATCGTATATAACTTTTTCCTTTAAACTATAATAATTTATTTTTCACATTCTATGAAATAAAATATTATGTAAAGCTATAACAGCATCAATCAATCAATTAACATCTATATACATGATAGCTCAATCTGTAATTATAGTTGACAGTTTCAGTATCAGAAAACTAATAATTGTTTATATACATATAATAGACATATTTCACGTAGTAATTTTTATTTAAAGAAATGCTTGTTAAAAATTGTTCAAATTCAAATTGCAAAGAAGATACTTGAATGCAAATTTTATTTTGTATTTATTGTTTATATGTAGAAATTAAATTACAATTGTGAAACCTGAATTAAACTAATAAAAAAATATGTAAAATATCTGTTACAAATATTATTTAATCATTGTGTTATTAACTGAATATGTTTTATGGTAATTTTGAATACAAGAAATAAACAATTCGGTTTGCTAAACTCGTAATAAACCACTTACTGTTCGAACAGAGCAGATAATTAACCGAAGCGATAAAAAATAAATCAACGCATGATTTCAACATCATTAATTTAATTTCAAACGCGCATTTATGTATTCCGCGGTTTCCGACTCTATTAAACAATCGAATTCTCTATTATTTTAACTGCACTGTAAATATAACAACAATGGCAATTAAAATTATAATTCACTGAGAGTATTATTACACGGAATAATATTGGAAATTAATGATTTTTATTTCAATTATTGTTTAACTCATTCATAAAAATGTGTTTAAATAAATAAACGAGGGCGATTAATAGCCGAATGGTTAAGTCGCCCTACCCACGAGCTAGTGGGCGCAGGTTCAAATCCTAGTCAAGCTAGGCCCTTTGTGAGCCCTCTTGGTGCCTGCAGCAATAGGGCCATCATTCATCACAGATGGACAGTGAAATGAATGAGGTTCAGTATATGGACCTTCAGTCAAGTCATCTAATGTCAACCGCGATTTAAATTTACTTAATTTTCACATTGATGAACAGATTGTAAATAAAATTACACGACATAAAAAATGAACTAAAGTTATTTGCTTAAATATAATATGAGAAAATGTGCTTTTTAAATGTATTTATATTTGAATTAAATTTAAATTATTATCAAAGTTTGATAAATAAATTTTCACAGTTTTGTACTTTGCAAAGAACTTCGTTTCGTATTTAATGATGCCATTAGGAAAGAAATATTCTGATAAATTAAACTATCCGTTTGCTGTAAAATTGTTCTTAAGTATATAATTAATTAAAATAACCCTTTGATCTATATTAAAACTAGTAAACATATGTAATTAAAATACAAAAGTCTAAAGAAGTAAATTATTAGAAATACAACAATTTACAAAAGCAGTAATTAAAAATTAGTATAAAAGACTATAAAATTTATGAATATAATTAAGAGTATTTATAAATTTCGAGAAGAAATATCTGTATAAACATGTATTTTCTAATATTTTTTCAGAACATGAACGATATTCCGGCGGCTCTTAATTCCTCATTTTTGGTTGTGCGATTTAAATTATTTTTTTTACTAAAAATTGATTAATATCAAAGGGCGAAAAGACATTTGTATGTAGGTCTATAGTAAATATTTATTATTATATTTATTAATCTCAAATAGAAAACGAATAGAAAAAAAAGTTAATATTTATCAGCGATCAAAAAACTAACAATCAAACTAATAATATTAAACGTTAAGGCAAAGGTATAAAGGTTATTATTATTATTTGTTAATAAAAATAAATAATAATATCATAAATGATAAATTAAAGTAACAGCACTTCATTTCTCTTGAATAATACCCTTCTCCTTTTAGGTTGTATTTCAATTTAGTTTTAGAAAAGGAAATAAATCAGGTATACCAACTACTATATATAAATTGCAGTATAATGTAAAATTGAATATGTCATTTCAATTTCAATGTCATCGGACTTCAAGCATCATTGTTGGTATGCCTGGCAGGAATATATTATTGTCTTATGTCACTGTTAATTGACCTTAATGAATTGACTAAAAAATGAAGGATAAAACCCAAAAGAAATATTTTAGAACATGAGAATCAAAATATTAATACTTATTTTTTATTATGATTATAGCCCTATTTCTGCTATCAAACTACACTTATCGGCAAATTTAAAATCAAGTCATAAAACACAATTCTTCACCGATTAATGAAGTAAGCGTCAGAAAAATAAAGTAGGTATTTTTTAAGTAATATCCTCAATAATATTAAAGAGAATAGTTCAAATAATTTGATTTAGATCCTAATTATAATAGTAATAAAAGAGAAATAGAAAATAAATTGCCAAAATATTTATATTATCTTTGAGTTTCCGCGCATTAATCAAATATAATTCATTGGCTAATACTATATATTGACAGCATAATTAAGAAGTAACTAAGGCCGAAATTTGATTAAAAGTGTCCGAATAAATATAAGGGTACAACTTTCATACTAAATATTATCAGTGTTTTTTATATATTGAAATGTCATTGACATTCCGGCGGGAAGTTTTATTAACCTTACGATTATTTCTATAAATATAATAATTATACTATTATTTGTATTTCATAATAAAGTAAATAAATGTTTTTTTGCGGGTCGGGTTCGCGGTCTGCGGTAACGTCGAAGTCTCCAGCTTTAGCCACAGAAAAACGAATCAATACCGAAACGGAAACTCTACTTTTGCAAATAAGAATTCCTATAAGATTTTTCCCGACAGCTTAAAAAAAATGTTTTGTTTGTTGTCAATGTTGTTGTCGTAGGATCGACGATGGCGTGACCGCGGCGTTGTTGTTGTTTATTTTGTGTAAACAAATAAAGCAGGAGAATTGTGAATAAAAGCCTGTCGCACATAAACATATCCGCACGACGAGTAATCCGTATTAATCAAATGAGCTTAAGTCCACGACTTTGCGGTCCGATAAATCAGCAAAATAAAAGTCCAGATGAGAAAGGAGATGGAATTGCAGAGGTAGGATTCAATTCAGTAGCTATGCGTTATAGAAATTGAGAATTTGGATAGTTGTAAGACTCACCGTTTTCGTTCCAAATTTTGCTTGCACTTCGTCACAGCGCACAAACACGAACGACACAGGCACGGATTTCTTGCACTCTTTCTCGATGTTGTTGCTTTTTTTTTGACGAGTTTTCTTTCTCTTTTTGGTTTTATTCTTCCACTTGTCTGTTGTTTGTGTATGTCTTTTTTTAAATTTTATTATCGTTGCTGCAGCTCTCGCCTCGTCTGGGCTTCGGGTGACTCTCTCAGGTGTAGATTTGTTTATACGAATTTTGGATTTCGATTTTGACTTTGTGTATGGATGCGAGGTGTCTGTGTATAGAAAGTCAATAAATATCACTCCATCTATTTGTTCACTTAGTCAAACACAATGCGAGTTAAGCCTCGGTACTTAGTGTAGATAAAACCCGAGTTTAGCGCAAATCGGTTTACAGTGGATTCCTAACTATATACACGCTCCTAATACGAAGGCTGTATTAAATAAGTAGAATTGATCCTAACTTTTCACTCGGCCCCAGCCACGCCCTCGCCGCCCTCTCGCCCCTCTCGAAACTCGACCCGACCGCCCCCACTCGCACACACACACCTACACTCACGGATACGCGTGATCGTGTACTATGGACGCACACAAACATATACGTGCAATGTACGCGCTCCGAACGACGGCGTGAGGGACTCGCCAACTCCCTCCTTCTCCTCCACCGCCTCCGCCGCCGTCACTTCCGCAACCGCCGCCGCCTCATGCACACTCAGTATGCGACGACGCGCTGCGCAACCTTCCGTTCTGATCGGCCGCCTCCGTTCGTTCCTTGCCTCGCTTCGCCTCGTCACCGACTGACACTCTCAACAAACTGCCGTCGCTACAGAAACCACCACCGTCGCCGCCTCCTCATATTCCCTTAATGTTTTCATTCTTGCTATTAAACATTATAATACAGAAAAAAAAAACATAGCCTGCATCATTATTATATAAATAAATACATATTTGTTTCAAGAAAATTCAAAGTATTATATTCAATGATTAACCCTTTCAAGTCCAATAAAAAAAATATTTTATTCAAATATTTATAAAAGCATTTATTTATTAATACAAAAACATCTTACCTGTTTTTTTTATTATTCAATATTGCCCACTGTTAAAAATACATCTTGCGACAATTCACATTAGTTGCTTCCAACAGTTTTAATCATCGAAAGACAAAATTGAATTTAAAAATTAATGATTCCATTTGGAATCACTGGGCTGGAAAGGGTTAATAATAGTTAACACAAAGCAGAAATATCTTATATTATTTATGAAATAGAAACAATAATTTATTGACCCATATATGATATAACTTATAAAATTCAATATAATAGTGATTTTTTTTGTAACATTTGGCGAAACTAATAACTTTAAATTTCTAATAATTTATATTTATTGTAAAGGTTCAAAAAATATATATAGAGAATTACAATTATCATCCCTTTCCAGCCCAATTTTTTTTTCCAATTTTTATTTACCTGATTTTTCAATTCAATTCACATTAGTTTCTGCCAACAGATTTAATCGTTGAAAGACAAAAATTGAATTTTTAATTATTCATTACATTTGGAATTACTGGACAGGAAAGGGTTAATTATAACTAATAACTATTGTAACCCGCCCCATTTGAATTTATTTAAATCAAAATACATTTAACAATTTACTACTTAACTCAGACTTTCAGCCAAAGTAAAAATATAATTCCAAACACATTTTTGGAACATTTCTGGCAAAACACAATATTTACAATAAAAGGAGATGGCGATCGTATAATATGATTGTTAGATTCCTAAAAAAAATGCATAATAACAAGATATTAGGTAGAATACCCTGGTTCTTTAGATGCATTTATGAATTTTAAATTTTTTTTTGCATTTCTTGGTTTATGATTTATATAGTTCATTTTTATGTAACTATGTTCTGTGGAAAGACCAGATTTTTATTTAATATCGGCCGCGGTCTTTTTGCCAAAGTTTTGCTAACATTCAGGGTTTTATAGTGATTTTATATTCATTTATCTTTGTTGGAATTTATGTTTCTTTTATATTCTTCTTAACGCAATTGTCAATCTAAAATAAAACTTCTTTATCATTACAAAAAAACACTTTATGCAAGAACATAATACAAACGTAACAAAATAACATAGTAAGAAAAAATAAAACTAAATTGAATTGCTGCAAAGGGCTATTGATTTTAATACTATTTTTCTTAAATATTTGTGCAGGGATTCCCAAACTTTTTTAGTTTGCGACGCCCTTAATACATCAGATTTTTTTTCGCGGCGTCCCAAGTCAAATCATTGGTCTATGGCAGGGCGATCTTTATGTTTATATATCACAATTTTCGCTTTTTGAGGCGTCCAGTTTGGGAACCTCTACGTTAGAGTGAAACACTACAAAGCCTTCTTTCTGTACAAGAATTCCCTGGTCTTTTGAATAATATAAATGAATTGCTTAGTTTATCTTATATTCATGTTATCCAAATGCTTTGGAATTTTCTCAATTCTCGAACAATATTAGAGCGTATGATCTTATTTAGTATTGTTTATACACATATCTACAGTAGTGGAATAAGCACTTGAAAGGCGCAAATTAATAGTGAGGCCATTCTTTAAATATTTCCAATTCAAATTAAAATTCATTTAAAAAATGATGCAATCTTCAAATATAATCACATGTAATTATAAATATAAGCTTATTTTGTTGTATATCTCGGGCAAATATTTCTTTCTAGAAAATATCATTAACTAGACAAATACTATATGCATCGGTAAATAGTTTTCTAATAATCATTTATCTTTAACCGTGGGCCACTAATAGCCGAATGGTTATGTCACCCTACCCATAATCGAACCGGCGCCGGTTCGAATCCTGGTCAAGCCAGACTCTTTGTGAGCCCTCTCAGTGCTTGCAGCAATAGGGTCTTCGTTCATGAAGATGAACAGTCAAATGAATGAGGTTCAGCATATGGACCTTCAGCCAAGTCGATGGACAATGACAGTGTTAATGATAGCAGCAGATTCACAGTCAAAGATAATAGTGGAATCACAAATCAACAATATACTACTGAAGTTAACCTACAAGACGACAGCCAACCAACAAATTAAAATCAAAATCATCATAATGGTAACTATCCACCGGAAAAGATTATTGATGAACAGATTGTGAATAAAAATTATACGACATAAAAAAAATCTTTAACCGTAATTTTCAGAAGCAAATTGTATTTTCAGGAACTCCTGTTGCTTAAATAGGAATGTTATTTTTTCAATGTAATACAATTATGTGGCAGAATGTTAACAATTCTTGATAGTTTTGTGAATTATATGCATATTAAATTTGCTTATATCCAATTATCTCAATACACCTTAAAACTATTTTTTTAAACGGTTTTACCTAGTCAATTAGAAATGTAATAATACGATTTTCTTAGTTAAAATCTATTTATTGAATTAACTTATTGCTTATGACATATAGAAAATTAAAATAAGAAAACTTGTAAAGTTATGACGATAAATTCATAAACAAGATGCAACAAGTATGTTGATAGCTAAATGTGGATTAATTTTTAGATCTGGAGCATAGAATATTAGGGTTTTGAATAACACTGAACGAATTAATCGTATTCTTCAAGTGTTGGCAGTATATATTATATACTTAAAAAAAACTAATATTTACAAAAAAAAAAGCTATAGGCCTTTTGTCCCAGATGAATTCAATACAATTCTGTAACATAAAATTTATGATAATTTAATAAATAATAATCTATACAATTTATATTTTTACAAGTACAGTCTCGGTTAACAATAACTTTTAATCCTAAATCAATATAATTCATATATTAAACACTTTTTAATAGAGTAGTTTTTCCTAATGTTTCAGAAAAGAAAAAAATAATTTCTCATTTCACGGGAACAAAAGACATATTTTTATATTATAATTCAATTTAATATAATCAAATTTATTGTTTTTATGTGAATTATTATTGTATTATTTCATGTCTCAATTAGTTTTAAAAATATGTATTTTGTATTTTGTTTTATATATTATTATGTAAAAATCATTTATATCATATTACGAAGGAATTAAAGTTTCTGTTCGTAATGCAGTTATTTGGTTATTGTAATGGGTGTCGGGCTTAAGATGATTTTGAGGGTGAGAATGGGAAGCCTCGTTAATGCTGACGATAAGGCCATATAATGTGATGATGGAATTGTTGCTTATATTAGATGGATGTATTGGTTAGCTGTGCGTGCGATGAGGATAGGAGGAATGGGGAACCAGGATCAGAAATGACGGTCGATGATGATTAAGATTAAGAACTGATGTCGTCGAGGGAGGTACGAGGACGGAGGTCCCTACGGCTGTCTGAGTCTGAAATTAATAAGCCTTTGCTCACCTTTGTTACCGACCTACATGCTCAGGGCTTCACTTAATCCACACACGCAATTACATTACAATATGCAGAATATATTCGAAACCAATTTCACGAACTATCGTGACATAATCCAAAAACCATTGTCTAAAAACAAGAAAGTAAAATTTCCAAATTTATTGTTATGAATATTATTTTCTCCATCATTTTTCGTGATCAAACACAATAAATGGAAAGAAAAATATAAATTTACAAACAGATTTTATTGATTCTAGTAACCCGGACTATTTGAAACCGAACTAATCGAGGAACTAAATAGCATAGAGCGAAAAAATGGTAATTTACATATAAAAATAACTGTGTGTTCTATTATAATTTATTTCTAATTCGCTCAATTAAAATTTAGTTTGCTTTGAAATTTTCAAACCAAATCAAAGCCGTATTTCTATATTTGTACTTTCTGAAGTTAAATCAGTAAATAATTAAATACTATAAACATGTTTACAACTACAAATTTACAAGTAATTTTGTCAAACATTTTATTTTTCAAGGTATATATTCAACATATATTATATATTTCATTTAAACATTTAAATTTGTTAAATTTAATTACATGAATTTACGTTATAGCGTAGAAATAATGAGAAGAAATATAGAAATTTATCTTTTCCAACACATTACAAAATGTTGATAATAAAAATTATAAATTATCAGATATTTAAATAAACACTTTCAAATGTTAGTACATCATTTGAAAGTGTTTATTTAAATATTTTGATATTGTTATCTTACACAAATCGATAAGAAAGTTTTCATACTAATTTTAGTTAAATAATATTAATATTTCTTGCTTTCCGGGGAAAGTAAGTAGATAAGAAAAGTTAGGTGATTAGTAAGTAATCAGTTATCTTTTAATTATACACAATAAATATTGTAGTTAAATATTTAAATATAATATAAAAGTTTCCAATATAATGCAATCCTTAATATATACGTTAGCAATTCAAATAAAATTATTATAATAAATCATAATTTTACAAAAACCCAAAAATTATTATCACGAATTTGGCTGTATTGTTTCATTATATAATTAATTATTTCATTGATCTACTCTTCGCCCGTAAATCGTATTTAAATGTTGAACATCTGCACTATTTCAAGCATTTCTAATTATA